TGATCTTTTCAAATGCGGCCAGGTCGCATTCATCCGAACTTAACGCCATCAATACCCGACAAAAGTCAATATTCTGCATCTTGCTAAGTAGAGGCAGCACGAAAAACAACAACCATGGCGGACGATGATGCGTTTAGCAGTATTTACGTTTAACCATCTTGAAAACATTGAGTTTTTAAGGCTGGGAAAGATCGCTTGACGCGCTCCAGCACTACCATCCATGTTTACTTCTGCAAACACAGAGCACGCTGGCTTGTGACATCATTGCGTCCACTACTGCGCATGTGGGACACTTTAATTGTATGAATGCAGTTCACACAGGAGATCACATACAAGTCGCATTTATTTGGAAGTGTAAATGGACACACAAAAAAAAAAATCGTATTTCTCAAAAAAATCAGAATTGAGCATCAAGGCCTGCAGTGCGAATGTAGCCTAAGTCCCTTCAGAACCAACAAACACGTTAGCTTGGTGGCTTCAGGGTCAGTTATGTCTGGACGAGCTAACAATGCTAACTTCCTTCATTAGGACGCGTGTTCTAGTGAGCTGGGATGTTACGAATGAGTCTGTTCCACCTGGACCATCGCTCCCTCTCACCTGCAGGGGGATTTTAAGGTCTTATTTATCAGGCATCTTTTGCATTCAATGTTTCATAAACCATAAATCTAGAAATAAAGAAGCAGCTTATCCTGTTTATACATATTTATTTCAACCAAAATGACAGAATTATGAGTTTTTGCCTTTAATTTCAAGCAGCTGATCACCGTTGGTACAAACAGACATTTCTACAGATACAAACCAGAGTTAAAATATTTCAGACTTTATACCAAATTATTCACTCATGTCCAGATATTCACAAAAGAAAACAGTAATTCCAGATTTTTAGCTAAAATCTTGTTTGGTTTGTAGGGAACTACTTTTCTGACCCGTTGAGTTACTAATCGCCGCAGTGACCGAAAAGTTTCAGCCAGTCGCCATTACAGACTCCATCCAATCCAGGAAGTTGTTGACCTTGGCGTAAACGCCATACATGTTCTCCTTGGCGCAGCCGTTGCCCCAGCTCACCACGCCCGTCAGGAACCAGGTCTTCTTGTACCGCATCACCAGCGGGCCGCCGCTGTCGCCTTCGCAGGCGTCCTGACCGCCTTTCCTGTACCCTGCACAGAACATGTTTTTGGTGATGTTGAGCTGGGTGTGGAGGCGGCACTCCTGCAGCGGGACCCTCGGCAGCACCAGACGCTGCAGGAACCGAGCGGTCGGACCGGCCTCCACCAGGCGACCCCATCCGGAGACGGTGGCGTGGCGGACGGTGGACAGCGTCCAAGCGAAGGTGCTGTTCCGAGCAGGCAGGCAGATTGGAATGACGTAGCGGCCGAGCTTGACTGGGCGGTGAAGCTTTAGCAGGGCCAGGTCGCTGTCGGAGGTGGAGCTGTTGTAGTCGGGGTGGATCGTGATGTTGAGCACACGCCGCCGCTGTTCCGTTTTCTCCGTGGCCTTTAGGTCATGCTTCCCTTGAAAGTCAGCACACGTTTAGCTTAAGCACAATTGAAAGACCTGGGCTGTGAGTTAGACCTGAAACGACTTCGCATCACCTCACCTACATCGATGTGGAAGATGGCCGACGGCTTCCTCCAGACGCAGTGAGCTGCGGTTAGAATCCACACGTCGGACAGGACGATGGCTCCACAGGTGAACCGGCTATGTTCGTACAGCACCGCCTGGAGACACATCCGTTTACTCTATAGTTTGCCGCATTCTTGCTCAATGTCGCGTAGGACTTACCTGCCAGGGACAGTGTCCTTTGGGGCAGATCTGTCCGTTAACTACCCTCGGGGCAAAATTCACCAACGGTCTTCCACAGACAACTGGATCTATAGCAAAAAGATGAGACTTCAGCAGAGCCATGAAGTCCAAGGAGTCATGGGAATTACAGCTTGATCGGTTGATTTTGTTAAACTTCCCGTCAAATACGAAAGAAAACAAATTTTTTCTTCTTCTACTAATGTCCAAACTGAGGGAACCCTAATTTGGAGTAGTCTACCAAAGCAGACGTCTGCTGGGGAACCTTGGTTCCTGGAATGATCCGGAACACCCAGACCAGCGGCAGGGGTCTCGGTTCTGGATCTTGTAGATCCAGAACCGAGACCCCTCCCATTCTCATTCAGATCCTTTATGTTCGACAAAGGTAGGAAGGTCACACAGAAGGTCCCAGAACATGGACCTCCATTGGAGTGCAGACCTTGAGGCAGACAGGTGCTGTTGTCCTGATCCAGACCATAACCAGGAGCGCAGAAGCAGACTTTGGAGCGATCCGGGTTAACTCTGCAGAAATGCTCGCAGCCTCCGTTTCTGTGGCGACATCTGGTGGAGGTTGAACGTACTGCAAGGGGAAGAGTAGAGAACATCTTCCAGACCAAGAAGGAGAGCCACAGGTCAGAGTTCAGGCTGTGTGACCTTCCTACCTTTGTCGCATTTGGATCCATGGAAACCTGCAGCGCATTTGCAGACATAGGTGTGGAAGTGCCGGGTGCAGGTCGCTCCGTTGCTACAGGGGGACGACAGGCAGGGGTCCACGACTGAAAACCAACGGGAACAGGATGGGTTAGGATGGGTTCTCACAGGAGGAACTGGAGACGTTCCGTTTAGCAGTACCTGTGTATGTTCTCCAGAAGTTCTCCTGAATGCAGAGGACACACAGGAGAGTCAAAACGAGTCGAAGACAAAGACACAGGAGGATAGAACGGCCGAGTCCGACTCACCAGCTGCTGGGAATGGGGAATGATCTCCCTGGCCTCCTCGTAGGAACATTTCTCCTCATAACATTCCCGCTCCAGGTTGCCCTGCCTCAGCTCCTCCAGGAATGTGTTGGCCCGACGGGTCCGATGGAAGAACCCACTGGCCTCATGTCTGAGCAGGAAGGCTCCCCCTGGAGGGAAACATCAACGGAGCAGCGTTTCATCAGAACCGGGTCATCAGAACTGGGTCATCAGAACCGGGTCATCTTCATCTGAACCAGAGGTTATTATTGGCATGGGTGTTGCGATACGATACGTATCACGATAGTTGGGTGATAATGCGATACCATCACTAAATAATGATATTTTTCCCAGCTACCAAAGTTAAATGTATAGATAAAAAATCAGGTGCTTTATACGTTCATCAGTAAATATTGATAATTTAGTTCTTTTGGTTTCCATCTTGTTTGTGGTTTGAGTCGGTCCATGTCTTCCACTGTGACTCCCTCAGCTACAGATATAGCCCTGCGCAGCTAAATGGCTCCCCAGCGCCATCTACCAGAGTGGAGGTGAAGAGGTAGCCCATTTAGCATCATTTTGTTAAGGAAAATTTTATTTTTCCTTAACATTTATTATTAAGTTGTTTTTTTATCGATACTGGGAAATGAAATATCGATGTTATATTGGGCAGCCGATTATCACAATATAACCGGCAAATCAATTTTTTTCACACAGGGTCATCTTCATCTGCTGCCATGGAAACGCCAGGGCAGCAGATCACATTTATCTGGCATTGATGTCTAATCTGAGAAAAAAACATTCTGTCAGAAGATGAAGTTTGTGTGATTCAGCATCACTGCAGACGGAGAGGAGATGATCCTGCAGAGAGAACCTGCTAATGTCTACTGGCTGGATTTACTGTGAACAGAGAACCAAACAGCCAAATTCCTCTGATTTATGTTTATCTGACTCTGTTCATTATTATTCCTCCACTAAATGAAAAAGTCATAATTTATTATTATCCAGAGACTATTAATAACAGGAGGTGAAATGCAGCTCCAGACGAGCTTTGAATGTGGTGATGTCATCAGTACGCTGCTGTTCCAATTAAACCAGATTTATTCTGCTCCCGTTTCTCCCAGAGTCCAGACTTTCCTGGGTTCTAGTCAAGAACGGACTTGGCGAGGACACGAGTCCGTACTCACGTTCTAACGAATTGAGGAACGGCCAATAATTCTGTAGTTTTGTACCAATAATAATAAAATTAAAGCTGTTTCATTCAAAGCTAACATGGTAGCATAACTTTACCAATCAATCAATCAATCAATCAATCAATCAATCAATCAATCAACCAATCAAGCGTTTCTGTGGCTCGTCGTGTTTTATTTATGGTCACGCGTTTGTCTGCCTTCTGTTTTGAGGCTAATGTAGCATCGATGTAAACAGCTCTAATGAAAGAAAACGTTTAAAACTATCTGGAAAAAAAACTAAATCCAACATGGCTGCCAAAGACATGACATGTCATTTGCTTTTAGTTCATTAGCTTGCAGAAAAACTATTTATTTATTTTACTAAAACTATTGGAACTAAAATTCAACATAAGAACTATCAATGCAGCAAAAGCTGCTTCAGTTTACATTTTTATTAAGATGCAATTTTTAGTTTAATTACATTGAAAATATAGTAAAGTTTTATTATCTAATTTTGCTGCCCTGTTTCTGGTGATGGTTAAAGTTGAATCAGGCCAAAGCTGCAGACGGTTCTCCTCCTCAGGGAGAACAACCTGAAGGAACCAGAAGAACGAAAACAGACCAAGAAGAAGAAGAAGAGCAGGAGGAGGAAGACTGACCTGTCCCGGTGCATGCTGGGAGGAAAACCGTTAGGATTAAGAAGAAGACGCTGCTCGTCTGTCTGCTGATGGACGCCATGCTTGTTTGAAACTGATCAAAGTTCACAGAAACACAAACACAGAAAAACCCCCAACAGGAAAAAACACGTCTGCCAGATAAAAGCTGCAGGTTTATTTTCTCCTTTTACGGTAAAATGACCTCATTTTTTATTTTATTTTATTTCAATCTGCAGCTGAACATCAAACCACAGAGAACCTCTGACTTTACTCAGTTTTTAACAACATTTATCCGTTTCTGTCGGTATTAAACAGCAAATAGGAGTAAAATGTTTAAATGTGTTTAAAACATTGACTTTATTTCTTCTATTTATCCAATAAATCTTCAGCACGGGTTTATTCTGAGGCGTAAAATAAAGACACAAGTTTCTCCATTTCCTCCTTTATTGTTTTTAACATGAATGTTTCCTTTTAAAGGCATCAAACTGGAAACAGCCAGAATAAATAGGATGAAACTATTTACTGAAGGAATAAAAAAACAAACCTTAACTAACTTTAGATTTTGACATAAAAACAGAGTAAATGTTTAAAGGTTGTAAACAGAAAGTGCTGGGATCCAAACTGCAGTTCGTCTGGTTGTAGCAGTTCTCCTCCTGTCCTCCAGGGGGTGCTGCTCCTCTTACAGCATCTCCTTCAGGATGTTGGGGAGGAACTCTTGAGCATCTCTCAGTTCATCCTTCCACTCCTGAGGGATGCCCCCTCCGCTGTGGGCGGCCCCGGCCCCCAGCAGGGCCCCGAGCGCCGCACCCCGGTTACAGTTTTCACCTGGAGACAGAAAAAACAAACCAGACGGTGGAGAAAAGACCAACAGGAAACCAGCTGCTCTGATTGGTCAGCGTCAACAGGCTCCGCCCATCCATTTTAACATTTAGTTCCACACGGCAGCATTCTGGGGGACTGAGGTTTTTATTCTTTGAATCGAGACGTCGGTTCTAGATGACGATGTTCTATACCGAATTTCACCAAATTAACCAAAGTCCATTTTTAAGGCACTGACCTCCACAGTTGGTGTTGGCCAGGATTCCTCCCACCGGATCATCGTGGAACTCGTAGGCCAGGTAGAACAGGCTGGACAGCGCCCCTGTTGGTTCAACGGTTCACAGTTGAGTCTGGGTCTGAGACAGTGGCGCCACCGGTGGGGGAAGGGGTGGCCACAGCCTCCCTGTACAACGCCCCGGCCACCCCACTGCCCCCCCACTGGCCTCCCCATTCCCTGCCCACTGGCCACCCTGTTGTCCTCCCCACTGGCCACCCCATTGCCCTGCCCACTGGCCACCCCACTGGCCCCCCACTGGCCTCCCCATTGCCTCCCCACTGGCCACCCCA